CAAGCCTGGTACAGCCCAGATCTCTGTGCGAGTTGTGGATACCAATGACAACCCACCTGCCTTTGACCGCTCCACCTACACCGTGAGCCTTCTGGAGAATGCGCCACCTGGCACGCTAGTGGTCAAACTCAATGCCTCAGACCCCGATGAGGGCTCCAATGGGGATGTGATCTACTCCTTTGGCAGCTACACCCCACAGAAGGTGAGGCAGCTCTTTAGTGTGGACCCACATTCGGGGGAGGTGCGGGTTAATGGTACCTTGGACTATGAAGAGGCATCCTCCTATGAGATCTATGTGCAGGCCACTGATCAGGGCCCTGTCTCCATGGCTGGGCACTGCAAGGTGCTGGTCAACATTGTGGATGCCAATGATAACGTTCCTGAGGTGGTCCTGACCTCCTTGTACAGCCCAGTGCCAGAGGACGCAAAGGCAGGAACTGTGGTGGCCCTGATGAGTGTCACTGACCAGGACTCAGGGCTGAACAAGCAGGTGAGTCTGCGTATTCCCCCCGGCCTCCCCTTCACACTCAACTCTTTCAAGAACTCCTACACCTTGATCACCCAGGGCAAACTGGACCATGAGAAAGCAGCAGCCTACAACATCACAGTTACAGCTACTGACTCTGGCAGCCCCCCTCTCTCATCCCAGAAGGTGATCTACGTGGAGATCTCCGACATCAATGACAATCCTCCACACTTCGAGGAACCTGTGTACTCAGTTTACATCCCTGAGAACAACCCTCTTGGAGTCTTGCTGTGCACTATCAAAGCCACTGACCCAGATGTCGCCGAAAATGCCTATGTATCCTATTCTCTACTAGATGGGGAGATTGAAGGGCTACCTGTTGCCTCCTATGTCTCCATTAAATCCGACAGCGGCAACATGTATGCCGTCAGGTCCTTTGACTATGAGACACTAAGAGAGTTCCAGGTGGTTGTCCAGGCTCAGGATGCCGGGATCCCACCACTGAGCAGCACTGTCACTGTCCACATCTATGTGGTGGACGAGAATGACCATGCTCCACAGATTCTGTATCCTACCTCAACCAACACTTCAGCAGCCCTGGAGATGATCCCACGCTCGGCATACGCTGGGTATTTGGTAACCAAAATTATAGCCATTGATGGGGACTCAGGACAAAATGCCTGGTTGTTCTTCCACCTGGTGCAACCCTCAGATCCAGGTTTGTTCAGGGTGGAGCTCCATACTGGGGAGATTAGGACTACTCGCAAACTGGGGGAGGACAGCGCACCTACTTTCAACCTGACGGTGGAGGTGAGAGACAATGGAGAGCCACCGATGTCTTCATCAGTAGCCATCACTGTTGCCGTGGTGGACAGAGTTTCCAAAATCATCCCTGATAGAAGAAGGCACATTAAAAGTCCAAGCAATTACTCAGAGATCACTCTTTATCTCATTATCGCTTTGAGCGCCATCTCCTTCGTTTTCCTTTTCACAATCATTGGGCTTACTGTTATCAAGTGCTACAGATACAGTCTGTATGGGGACTCCTGCTGTGCAGGGTTCTGTGGGGTCAGAGAACAGTGCCCTGCTGAATTGTACAAGCAGGCCAACAACAACATTGACGCTAGGTTGCCCCACGGTTTAAAAGTACAACCCCATTTCATTGAAGTGAGGGGCAACGGGTCTCTCACTAAGACCTACTGCTATAAGGCATGCCTAACTGCAGGATCAGGAAGTGACACTTTTATGTTTTACAATACCTGTGGCCCAACAGGAACTACTGGTCCCTCTGCAGTGATGACTGAGAGGCATCTGACGGGACAGAGTGGGCAGAGTGCACAAAACCTGATCATACTTAAAAATGACTCCATTACTCCTAATGAGGTGAGGCTACGTTGATAAATGGTCAGCACAGTGCTCTGAGCAAATCTATACTTAAGCAGAGGTTCAAACTGGAAAACATTCCCTTTTGGGCTCACAGACACACAGCTATGAAACACGGTTCTAAAGAATTCTAATCTGTGCAATGCATTTTGTTTCTAGGTAAATACTGGGACTTTCAGGGTCCATTTGGTAAGTTCAGTATATGCATCTGTTTGAGATTCACTTCATTTTTGCAGCGTACGCTGTATAGAGTATTGCCTCCTTCGTTTTTCTCTTACAGATCTAAAATTGCCTGCTGCCACAGGGTGCTAGGGAATGACAGACGTGGTCTTAAATTTTTAATGCTAAAACTAATATTGCAGGAAAAAAATAATAAAAAAAAGTTATTAGCCTGGAAATCAATAGATTACTTTATGGCAGTTATAGATGTTTGCTACTTCATTGATTTCATACCTAGGCAAAGCTGTTGAATTTAGATCATTGCAATAATATGCTTTGCTTACTAATGTGGGCATGTTTTAGTTGTCTGAAAACTGCAATCCCTCCTTTGATAATGTTTCTTCTACCCAATGCTGCATGTCATGCTTTCTGGACAGTGACAATCCAGTGACATCTTTGTAGAGAATTACAGCAAGTTACCATCGTTATGTTACAGTGTGACAACTTCTAACCTGCTGGGGTGCTACTGAAAATTGTTTAATACCTATGGTTTGACCAGCAGTGTATTAACCTTTTCAATATTTTCCTACAGTGAAGAATTAATGGTTGCTTTGTGCTAGCATACAGGCAGTCTGCAGTTAATGTGTGGTTTGCATGCTCTGTACAGTTTCCTTTCTACACATCTTGGAACTAAGCCAAGAAGCACTCACAAAATTCTGGTTCACAAAAGGAGAATTTTGCAATTACTGTGTGTTGTTCGTACCTTACAATGGTGGCAGACATAAGATCAGTTCGTGCATTAATGTGTGCAGAAGTGGGAAAGCAAGGGGAGTAACTGTGGTGGGATAGAAGGAGCCTGACTAGTGTATTCTTGCTACAGAAATATAACTTATTTCTTTATTTATTTATACTTCTTCAACATATGAAGATGTTAGCATCTTTTGCAACTGTTTTTTAGTTACACAAAGATGCACAAATCTTAAGGACTAGCAAGTCTTCCATAAAAATGCTTTTAGACAGTAATGATCATCCATTCAAAACTAATCCATTTTAAATTAATGCAGCATTTTTCTATAAATCACAGTGGCAGGGTATAGGGGAGGGATTTTTTCTTTTTCTACACAATTTTTGTACCTTAAAATCTTTGAGTATAATAAAATGCCTGGAATCTGTTTGATATAGGAGGGAATATGAGACATACTCTATAAGCATGTATGCTGACGAATCAAAGACTGAAATACACACCGTAAATCTGATTTTCTGGGGAAAAAAGGAGGAGCAATAATTGAAAATGGCTTCACTTTGGATGCAAGACCAGTAGGAAATTAGTTTAACAGAGAGATTCCAACCACATTTTAGGGATCATCCCATCGAATGCAATGAATTAGCAAGTTTTGAACACCAGTGCAGATCAGGCAGTGGCAGCAAAGCCAGCCGAAACTTGGAGTACCAAAGTAGAGAGATGTATAGAATAAACTAATGAATGCCAGCCTGTGTGGAGTTATGAATGAAAAGAGGAATCAATTATTCAAATAGTTCTGTATGATATAAACAGAGGTGAAATTCTGACAAATTCTACTAATCACAAATTCTTTTCTTAGGCCTCTGCTTCTTAAACTGTCCTGTGGTAGTACATACTATGAAGATGTATCAATGCCAAGTGTACATGCGAAAATGGGTGAATGTAATGGCATTCACTAATTACTGGTTCCTAGCTAATTACATACTATAAAATCCTGTCTTTCCCTTGTTTCAAGCTCAGCATATGCACTGAAGATGCCATCCATTGCTTAGCAACATCGAATTCTACTTTTTAAGGATGATGATCTTTGTATTACTAGATCTTCAGAGAACTGTGTTTCTCTTTTTAGTTAAAGTGAACTTTTAATCAGTCTTTAAAAGCCCATGCCTTCGCCTGTGAAGCATAGCAACAGGTATTGTTGTCCTTGCATTGATTTAGAAAGTTTATCTCTGATGTGTATGTTACTTTCAGATTATGTGAACGGGTCTTTTTTTTTTTTTTACAGTTTTTGGAAATTGATCTTCTATTAATTGTTCAATGATGAGGATGGGACCAGGTGAATGGGCTTTCTATACATGCGTATCATACGTAGGGTTTCACAGAGGCTAATATTTTGCAAATGTTTATATGGTGAGAGGAAAAATATGTCAAAGTTATTTGGATTAATCTCAGTAACACTCAATGCAATAAGGTCTTAGTCCTTTTCATATTTACTACTAAGGTCAAGGATGCTAATAATTACTTTACACTAAGTTGTGGCTGACTTCATTGGGTCATTAGAAGGATGCAGTGGAGGGGAAAACCCAGTGTATTAAGGTTAGGTAGGGAATTCTTTGTATCTGTTAAAGCACCGATTCCTGTGTGACTATTCTGACTTGTACTGCTAGTGTTGTGGTGGTGGAATGGGAGCTTGTTTCTGCAGGACAGCCTGTGCTTTTGCATTCACCCTGCTTGCCTGTATGGTCCTTGATAGGTTTATAAGAACATCTCAAACCAAGTGTGTTTTGTAAAAGAATAAATGTACTAACACAGCTGTACTAAAAACCTTAGAAACAGTTATTGCTGGCAGGAGTCAGGTGATAAGGTTCAGAATGCGGGGTTAATGGGCACCGCTCTCTCATCAGCTAAATAACTACTGCAGGGTGACCAGGCAGGCAGCGTAGGCAAAATATAGAGACAGCAAAATACTGTGGCTTCATTGCTGGCACTGTGTGAGGTTATGCGCAGCCTGGAGTCCTGCCTTTCGAAAGGGAAATGCACGCAGATGTGAAGGGGGTGCGTGAAGATGTGATTTTTTTACTGGGCACTGCTGCAGTGATGATCCATCATTTTCAGGAAAGGTTTCAGTGCTTTAGTCTGGAGTCCCTTTCCTCATACGCCTGTGAAGATGTAAGTGATGTCCGAGTAGTGCCTGGTCCTTGGTTTGTCTTTTCATCTCTCCCGTCTTGTTCTTAACATTCTGTGCAGTTAAGCTCATTCATTATGTCTTGCGTCTTATGACAATCTTTTCCCTTCAATACAGGGAATAACAATCAAACCAACATATGCTTTAACTGGAGTTTTTTGCCTGGCACATTCCTAATGATGAGTGGGCAGTCTGGATACTTGATAGAACTAGATATCAGCTCTTCTGATTATACATTTCCTTGTACCCTTTTTTGTGTTCATAAATAAATTTGCATGGTGCTCTATGTACACTTTTCAGAAAGAAAAAAAGCTGCACATTAGTGATGGTAAGACCCAGGGGTTCAATGGAGTTTTACGGCTGTTTGCTGTGCTTCTGGCTCTTCCTCTGTATTTTGCACTTCAAAACCAGCTTGCTAAACACACGGAAAAAAACAAACAACACTTGAGTTGCACACAACTTGATACTGCTTTAAAATGCAAGCACGTTTTGAAGTGTCTAAATCTAGTAAACCCACAGCATTGTCTGGAGCAGTCTCTCCAAGAGATTTCTCACAGAGGCTTTAAAGGTATTAATGGTGGAATGTCTTACAATCTCAGTTCAAGAACTTAAGCCTTTAAGAAATTCTCCAGCCCCACTGACATTGTAAAGGTTAACCATAAAAGTTTGTTCTTTTATTTAGTGGCAGTATCTGAACCTGTTCTGCTAAGCAGGGACAGTGCTCTGTGCTTTAGGGCAGTCAGACTCTTGGTTTGATGCTTACTGCTGTGCCAGCAGAAATTTGCATCCAATATTAAGCAGAGGAGTTTTCCTTCTCTTGAACTCATTAAATACACTTTACAGATGCACTTGCTTGTTCCCTTCACCTTAGTTTTCTCAGAGTTAGGAATGCAAATGAACACTGCCAGGAAGAAAATCTTGAAGCTCCTGAATACACCCTTTTTCAGTTTCCATTCTGATTTCTTGTATGATAAACACATGTTCAGTCTATAAATAGTTTGTTTTCCACATCAAATTAATTCTAAACATTTACAGAAAGAAATCAGGAATAGAAGCCTCTGCTTCCCCACATCTGTCAGCACCGTCTCACTGGAAAATAAGCAGAACTGTATGCAGTCAGGGGTTCTAAAAGGCCTTTTATTATCACTTCAAAGAGGTTATATTTATTAAATATGTCATTCTGTCATGTGTTTGTGTGGAAATAGGAATGGAGTGGGATGCTTTTAGCAGTCTCTTCATCTGGTAACTGTTTGTAAATGTTTGAGTCACACTTTTCCACCTCAAGCAGGCCCTGTTCTAACACCCACTGAAGTAAATGGGAGGCTTTGCCTTGATTTTCATGAATACGGGATCAGGATGTTAACAAATTTTGGAAATCCCTTCTATCCCAGGGACAAATCCTTACTGTATTAAAGTATTAGCTGAAAAATAGAACTGAGCAAAATGTTTGTAACAATGTATTTTCAATTAAATTTTTTCTTCAGGAACCAATTCTTAAATTCTTAAATTAACCCATGCTGTGCAATTTGAAAACAACTGAGTGAAATTTTGCATGAGCATTTTCACTACTAAGGTGGCTGCATTTTCTATTATACATTCACTTTGTTTATCAGACTTTCAGTAGGGTTGGTTGTCTGTGACTAGTGACATTAATGCTTGCGGTTATGTGGCTGGCAGAATGTAACCCTGGTGCCTGGAAGAACCAGCAGGAACAAACCGTTGGCGCGAGGTGTTCACCTGGTGCAGTGACAACTGCTTCTATAGGCACCTGGACAGATTGTGACTCATCTCACAACTATGATGACGTGTGCCGCTACTAAATCAGAAAAAGCAGGTGATGGGAGAAACAGGGAATGGTTGATTACTTCTGTGCTGGATCGTGTGAATCCCTCACCTCCACTGATGAGTGATAAGGACAGGACCATTGGACCTGATACATGGGCTCCAAAAATCTGAGGGAAGTGGCAAGCTAAGATTACCTTAAGGTTAGTAGAATGGGATGCGATAAACATCGCATGCGATGGCATGCGATAAACAGGGTGCTGGGGAGGTAAAAGGAACAATATCATCTTCATCAGCATCGTGTGACATAGCGAGAGTATGGGGATATACAACTGGGAAGCATCTGGACCACTTCAGAGTCTGTATTCCTCTTTGTGCTTCCTCTCTGTACTCATGCTTCCTGGCCAGCTGTACTTTGTCCTGGTGGTGTTGATTTATGACACAGCTACACTTCTCACAGCAAACTCTGTGGCAGGCCTTTGAAGAGGCGCCCATTGACAGCTCCTGTGCAGACTCCTGTCCCGTGGGACTGTGCTAAAGACACTGCTCTACTTTGAGATGGGCCATATCGTGTCATGATACAGGGACTGTGTGCTGTGTGACAGCACATGTCAATGGGGCAGGTTTCAGTGGGTGGTCTCGTAAAGGTGGCCTGTTCATAGCTAGAGATATAAGCTAGAGATATAAGAGGAATAGAGATATAAGCTAGAGATATAAGTCATGCAGACTGTGAATACCTGATGGATGTATAAGAAGCAACACTGCTGCATCTGAACTGGGGAAAGATATTACTGAACAGGTTTGCTTCTTCTACTATGCTGTCACTTCTATTATTGGTCATGCTTTTTTGCTTGTCTTGCTCCTAATTGCCCTATCTCATTTAAAGGTATATTGGAACAACTTTTCTTTTATGACCAGAGGATCTTAAAGAATTACAGTCTGTAGCAGAACAAAAGGAGAAGCCAGTTACACTGACAAAATTGGAATTTCACCAATTTTGCCAGCTGCAGGACATTGGCCTGTGATAACACAAGTGTGGGACAAACTTGGGTCTCTTGCCAAGGTCTGAAAGTTCCCAGTCAAGCAGTGCACACACGGTAAAACTACTGGATGAGAATAGGTTTAGACAAAGGCAGACTGCTGCCCAACTGCCTTCTCCTCCTGTTCTTCCTGTGAAGACTTCAAAAAGTAGAGAAGTCCCAGACATTGATTTTTTCACAGTTAAAAACAAAAAAAACCCAGCCCCTGAAAGTGTGTAAAAGTCAACTGTGGCAATAGATCTTTCCATCTCCAGAGTATATTTTTCCAATCCTGTCCCCTCCTTCCTTCCTTCTTCTGCTCCTGTGGGAGCAGCACTAAAGCTCTGCCTAAAGAGTAATAGCAAATAGAGAACTGTTTGGGAGTAGCCACAAGATGCCACGGCCTCTGGATAGTAACCTTTGAAAATACCATGATTACCTAATTGCTGCTGTTTCTGTTATATTGACATGGTGAATGTTGGTCCATCCATGTGGAGTGAATGAATGATGAATTTCCAACTGATGAGTTTCTCCTGCCATCATCACCCATTTATGATCTGGTTTCTGAAAGTTCCCACTGCAACAAAACATAGGTTTTTGTCTTCCAGCCAAGAGCTGGAAAGCTCTCTGCTGAAAAACAAAAATCTATATACTGTGAATGAGTGGCCATTTTCTTTTTTTCTCACTCCTACCCAATTCATGTCAGATTTTTCCAGTTCTTTGATGTAATCTCACTTCGTCTGTGTTTTGCCTGGGACTGTGGTATGATTCCTCCTCCTCATCCTGCCTATAATCCTGCACAAATTAGTAACCTGCACCTCTCCCATTGCAAAAAAGAGCAAAGGGGCTTTCCCCTCACCCCCAGCCCAGCAGTTCCTCTGCTGTAAGAAAATCCCCAGCAGAGGAAAAGCCAAATCTTCTGGTGTCAGCACTCTTCATACATCAAGAAAGGCAAAGTCAGGAGAGGGTCTGATCAGGGTGTGTTATTTTCTATCCTCTTTCATTGACTGTTACTACATGGTTGACTTTGCTTTGACATCCCTGGGACTGTGGCCAAAATGGAATGAATCAGAAAATACTGGAACCATGCGTAATGGCCTCCTTGTCAAGCCATTTTCTGCTAAACTCAGCAGAACCTGAGCATGTCAGAGAATTGGGGACTAAACGGGAAGGAAATTGCTGGCACAGATGTTTAATGTGTGGTTGCAAATAGCAGCCTCCTCCCTTTTGTGTAACTCAGACCATAAAGAACACTAGGATGCGCATCATCCAAGAGCATCTCACTCTTGAGTGATGCTGGACCCAGGAAATATGGTGATAGAGCTATAGTGTAAGTTGTAATTGCTCCATTTTTATTTGAATAAAACCTATTGATCCAGGGAAAAGCATACCCCAAACCTCAAGAGGAAAGACAGAGTTGGCTTTAAATAATTCAGAGCATCCAACACTTTCTTTTTCTCTTTCAAGTAATGGGACAAAATTCATTTCTGATCTGTCTCCAATAGCTTGAAGAGAATTAAACCATTACTGTCATATATTATTTGTGTGTTTGGCACTGTACAGGACACACCAGGAATGAATGTAGTCCATTATGTTTTTGGACATAAGTTTTCTCTTTGAATTCAAGTGCTTGAAGTTAAGCACTGGCTGTGATATCACCTACAGAATAACGTCTTGAGAATCCAGAGAAATAACCTTGTTACGTGCTTAGGTCTTAATTTTAAAGGACCTGAGCTTGCATTCATTGGCTGTGATGAAAATTATTGTGATGGTCCCCTGACAATGCAAAAGAGATTTTCTGGAGCAATTTTTGATCAACAGAGGATTCTTAATTATCTCCTTATTTAGCAAGGCATTCTGCAGCAGATCAGCATATGCTGAGGTTTGTTGGTCAAAGGGTACTGCTGGCTGTTTTCCCCTTCTATCTCTTATACCCTCTCATGAATATGGAGAATATAGTAGTTCTTGATATTATGAAAGAACACGTCTGCCTTTGATAAAAAACTTGCTGCAGTCTGCAAATCTGATACCATCTAGTGCAGTCCTCCGCAGTACACTAAATGTCAGCAGAAACCTCACAGCAGACAGACCACCCCGCATGTCCCCTTCACAGGGGGCTGTATTTTATACATCGCCAGGCAGATGCCATTCAGTGCAGGAGCTCAAGTTTCCTCAGCTTATCAGGTAAACAAACAGTGTGTATTATGGATTTATGATGGGGTTTTTGCCTATGCCCAGAACGTTGATGAATGTACGAAATAATTGTCCACCAGTTTCCAGCATTAAATGTCGTTCCACAGAGATCATCTCTAGCCAAAGGCCTTGGCATGCAAACAAGTTTGTTTGTAACAGAGACAATCTCCGTGTGTCTATTTGAAAGTTTCTTTAGATTTGTAGAAGGATTTGGCGGTTCTGAATGTTCACAAAAATTGAGTAGCTCCATATAGACTCTTCTGACAAAATTAGCCAGATGCATATGATTTTCAGCACATTTAACATACATTAACAACGTTATCCTGGGCTTTTGTTTCTACAGCCAAAACACCCCAATCCTGACTGGCGCTACTCTGCATCCCTAAGGGCAGAAAAAATGTTTCCCCATAAGAAGGGGAATTCTGTCTTTGTCCTCTGTGAAAAGGGCAAAGCTGTCTGGCTCCTCTGATGCCCGAGACTGATGATATCTGTACTCTGAGATGGAAAAGCCCCCGAGTTCTGCTGCTGTCACTTCCAATCTCCAAGTGTTACAGATTCAGTCTGACTGCATCTTACGCTATTATTATACTACCATAGATCTGTGCTTTTTTTATGTTTACCTCCTGCCTTTTTATACATTGACTGTCAAGGCATAATTGCTCCAATTATTGAATTATTTAACTGTGATTATACAGTTTTTGTTTGCTTTAAAGCTCCCTGTAATCATCTATGCTGTTATGTTTCAATAGACTGTCTGCAGCATCGATGCGTTTTCCATCTTGTTGTCTCTTGTTACCATAAAAGTATGCTGCTCCTGCAGTCGGTTTATTAACCACGTGGTGCAATCAAGATGATTGACACAGTTTAAAGGACATTTTGAAGATATGAGATGGATTTTCAAAGAAGGAAAAGTGAGGCTGTGTCCAAATCTCTTTAGACATCTTTGAAAGTCCTCTGCCTAACATCGCAAGCAGTCTTTGCTATAATTTGCTACTCAGTACACCCGGAAAAAAAGAATTATAATAAAGTTGGTTTTGTAGAGCCTAAATAAAATAATATCTTTGCTATCCCTTCCTGAGCAGATTAGAAAGCTGATTATATATTCAGGTGTAATCTGACATGATTAATAAGACTACCTTACAGGTTTAGATGTAATTATAAGGCTGCAGTAGTTCCTAGTGGCACTACAAAGTGCGGGATGGTATGCTTTCCCAAAATTGTTGGTGCAATGGGACTGTAGTCATCACCTTTTATCCATTATCTGAAGAGTATTCCTAAGGTTGAAGTCCAAAACTCAGATTCAGACTGTCCATCCCTGAGACTGTGCTTCCTGTGGGGGAGGGCACAGTGTACCTCTCCAGCTGACTTTGGGCTGCTGTGTAAAAAGGAACCTAAACCTCAGGGACCAGAAGCAAAGGAGGAAAGAGCAAACTTGATTCTGTGGCCTGTTGGGCAAACTGGTTTCCTTCTTTTGTGTTCCTGCTGTTATTTTTGTTTTTTTAATCCCTGACTGCTTACTGCAAAATGAATAAACAATCTGGGGAGCAGGATCCTGGAGCAGGAATTCTCCTGCCTACCTAAGCATCTTATCTACTGGTCCTCAGAGTCAGGCGTGCTCTTGTGTATTCCCAATGTGATCCTGTGGATCCACATTCATTTCTATACAGAGTTCAAGATCTGGCCTGAAGTTACTTGAACAATTAATGAAAAGTCAGAGCTCATTTAAAGCAATTCATCCCACAAGCAGGGGAGCTAATGAAGCCTTTCTGGGAAATTGTATGTGTTCCTCTGTTCCCTCACATCGGCAGCCCCTGACCTTACCTGAAATCTCAGGTTCTGAGCCTGTGTGACCTGCCCAGCTGATGATTTTCATAAAATGCTAATTTTTAATAAAACCTGTAGAAATTTGATATCCATAGGACCCTTGACATCTGTCACATTTGTTTGAAACTGCTCATTAAGTTCAACTGGGAGTGTGGAAGGGAGCTGAAAGCAGATGAGCAGAGGGCAGGGACACAGTCACAGAATCCTGTTTCTCTAAGGAATTGCACACAAATATGTGCCTAGTTTTGCATTAAAAGTAGCAGATTTTTTTCTTTTCCTTCCATTTGAGGTGCTGGCTAATAGCAAAATTGGTGCTTTCAGGGTCAAGTGCTCACAATGTGACACTGTAAAATTCGCTGTATTAGTTTATCCATTGGAGAAAATGTATTTCTCTTTCTGAATTGCTCAGGAGAAGCATGCAGTAACCCAGGAAAGTGGGATCTGTTAAAGTAGCATAATGACAGAAGCTCAAAACTAACTTTGCCGACTTTTTACCATTTGCTTTAATGCTAATACATCATAACAGCAAAGAAGGTGTGTAACTTCCCTGTTAGCGACTTCCAGTCAATGAAAGCAAAGTGTCCTGCAGGTATGTTTGTTTTATAAATTATGCTACAACTGTGTTTTAGTAAATACTCAAAGATAACTTCTGCAAGTCAAAGTAACTAGTTCTCCAATGCTCCAGCAGAATTTGTTAGCATCATGCAATACTATAGTGGTAGTAGCACACCGACAAACAGTTATGACCTTTGAAGAGTAGCAAGAAAGAGAAATGTTATAAAGCCCAAGGCAGAGGGGAACTGTATAATCTAACCATGATATATGCTTATTCAGTGCTGTGCATATGGAAGAGGCAGGAGTCCTACGTGGAGGACCAGGAGGGCCTGATCAGCAGTGGCCAACAGTCTCCAGTGCTACTGCAGGTAAGGGTGTGAAAATCCAGAATATATGTGAGGAACTAATGTTAACTGAAGTAGACTTCCTAATGCTTCCGTCTTAGTTTTTCTCCTGTTTTGTGTCTCTGAGTTCTTGTAAATTAATCTCTGGAATCTAAATCAAGTGGAATAATAAAGCATAAAATACGTCTTTTTCTTTATTCAGTCTCAGATGAGCACTGCAGATAAGAGTCCTTGACCCCAACTTTCACCCTGCCTTTAGAGGTTATTGGTTTGTGTAATGGAAGAGCTTCAGTTCTCATGTGTGTATTCAGATTCAAAATCCTTGGGTCTAGAGCTGATTTGCCCTCCCTTTCAAAAGAACAGTAAAACTGGGGTAGGAGCTTATCTGTTCTCCCTGTGTTATTTTTACAAAACCAGTATGTCTCTTTGAATGTCTCTTCTCATTTTTTGTGGTGAAATCAGACCTGGTTTTTTTGCTAGCTATTTTCATTCACTAGTACATGATGATGGAAACTAAACTATTCTTTGGTTGTCAAAATAAATGACCAAAAATACATTTTAGAATGTAGCTTCATTTGCTCAGTCACTGTCTGATGACTTCACAGCAGTCAATAAGAATTGGCAAAAGGTCCTCACTGAGTTAAGAAAATAAAATCACCTTTTGCAGTGCAGGCAATAAAATATTCTCACTTTTTATGTTGGAGCAGGAATAATATAGAGAGGTAGCGGAGCAGCCAGTTACTGGTGTGATCAGCAGTTTCAGTCATGTCCAAACTAAGCTGCCAACTTAGTGGATGCCCTGTGCGGGGTTGTGAGCCCTGCATGACAGCTCTGCGGGCATTGTGAGTCCTCCAGAAATTCAGATGAGGAGTGACGCTTATATCACAGAGGCAGGTCAAAGGCTGAGAAATGGGGTCTCCAGCAGAAAAGATGTGAGAGCTGCTTTATTTAATACTTTTTGGTGCAAAACTTTACCTTGACTTAAAGGGGAATTTTACCTGGATAAAGGGCTGAAGAGCAACTTCAGGATTCGCAATCACAGTTACAACATATCCATGAATTAATGGTGCCCAACAAAACCTGCACTGGTGTTGCAGAAGGGTTGTCGGCAGAAACAGATTTGGAAATTAATATAATATATAATGGGCCCCTAGGCTATAATTACCTTGTTTTCGTGTGCTCTTCCTTCTGTTGCAGGCTTTGCAAGAAGACACAGCTTGTGCATGTTATGAAGGGCACGTAACTGTTGAGCTTGCATTTGAAAATGTCACCACAAGTACACTCTAACCTTTACAAGGGGTTCCCTTAGGCTTTTCAGCTGCACTAATCATCCTTGACTGAGTGCTTAGTGTATTACCTTATACCAAGTTCAGTATGGATGAAAATATTCATCGAAATGTTTGCTTGCTGGTCATGCAGATTTCTAAGTACCTGAATCTAAATGCAGAGGTAGGATGGTCCTGTCTTCTGAGGATGTCCATTGGTATTTGGGCCCCAGAGCCCTGTTCCACTATCTGGACTCCTCCCTGGTATTCTTTTGGGGTCTTATCATTTTAGACTCACTTTGGGAACCTGAACATCTCTTTGTTTGAGGAGCAGCAGTAATCCTTGGCTCTTATTGCTCTTTTCCTCCATGACCATGCAATGAGGCACTTGTGCAATGAATGCATCCCTGTCATGCACACTGCTCGCTATGTTGGTGGCTATGTAGGGTGGAGAAAACTGTAAGGCATAGTGAGAGAAGCTGGCAGGAGGCCCCAGCTGCGCAGCTGGAGAGGTGACGGTCCGAGTGCCAAGGCTGTTTACTCTGGCCCTTGGACTGAGCTTTGTAGATCATTGTTTCTCTGTGGTTTTTATTTCTAGGTAATGTATTCAACCAGGTTTCAAGAAACATCTTCAGCAACAGGAAATTTTTCTGCCATACAGGAAAATGTGACGAATTAAAATTGCGTTATGGAATATCCACACTAGTTACAGCTGCCTTTAAATCCAATTTTTGTGAATCAGGTTCCTAGTAAATGAATATTTTTTCCTGTGCAATGAAGACTCATTTTGTCTTTGTCTGCTCCCAAGGGATTAGTAACCCTGACATAACACTAATTAGCCCCCTTTTTTAGTGGGTTTCAGGTAATATTCTTCTCTTGTAAGCAAAAGCTACAGACATCCCTAGTCCTTAATAGCAAACAGGCGATTCATAGGGAAGTCTCAGTTAGGATTAATGATTGTGTTAATTCTCATAGCTTAAGTACATCATCATGCATCACATTTTCAGCAATTTACTACCACTGTTTTAGACTTCTATCTGCAGTTTCCCACAAATATTTCTTTCAATGCTTCTTTCTTTTTCTGGCTTAGGTTCAAGACCTGTAATATTTTTCATCAGGTTAACATATACAACTGATGCTTTTCAGAAGAGATTCAACTCATTATGGTCAATTGCAGTCAATTGAGTCAACAAATGCATTTGCTCCTGACATATCATTTGCATATGAGTGGATTGCACCTGTGACCAGATAAACTCCTAGATAAGCTATTTGTTATCTCTGTTATCATCAGCATACTGTGGCAGCTGCAGGTCTCGACTTCTGATTACTAGAAACCGCTTCCAAGCCTGTTCTGTGCACACATTCTCCATGCAGTTGTTTTAGTCAATTGATTAATCCCAATTCAGTTTGTCACTAAACCATTCATTTAATTTAAAAATCCACAAAAGCCACGGATAAGATGCCTCCCAGAGACAGATTCAGAGAGTTAATCAATGAGAGCATTCAAAGATGATGTCATAGGAACACTTTAAGAAGGATGAACAAGTCAAGTGTTAAATCAGTAAATCCTTAATTCCTAATGCATAGCTGTACTCAAACATCACATGATGGTTCAGCAAACATGTGTTGCCCAAGCAAAACCTGGTCTTCATTTGGCTGACAACAGTCCTATTGACTTTATTGCATATTTCACCCATGCAGAGGAAATCTCAGTCTGGCATGTTTTGATTGTCTTTGCATTTTCTTATGCACCAGTCCAACAGTTTGTAGGTTTGTAGTCAGGATACTTCCAAGGGAAGTGGGACAAGAAGGCTCAAACTCCCTCTGGGTAGATGATAGCATTGGGTTTAGCTCTCTGGGGCATCTTATTTGTCCCTCACATGCTATATAGTGAGTCCAGGAAATGCAGACAGATTTCTGGTTTCTGCTCTATGTCCTTCGACAGATTTGGCAATTATATCAGACTTTCTATAGGTGACCCCTAATCTGAATGAACTTTATTTTCTGGATGCCTAACCCAGAGTAACTGGAGCTTGATTTGCAGAGATGGTGGGAGCTCATAATAGAAACTAAGATGAACAGAAACTTTGCTCTAAACATACAGCACTAAAGATTTCTGAATAAATCAGACCTATTCAGAGCTTAGAATTAGTGGGCATTAGACAAATCTGTGTGTACTTCTCTGTGCCTCAGGTTCCAATCTACAAAACAGAACTGATAATGCAAGTGCTTCACAAAACACTCTAAAGACGCATTCATAGCACATATAAGACTCAGGAGAACGATAAGGTTTTGTGATGAAGAACAGCCATGAGGATTTTTAAATCCTCTATTCAAGGTAGGCTTTACATGTGTGCTGTAAATAAGGCACTGGGCCACACACCACATATATAGAGGGAAAAAAAATACTTCCATTCAGACAAATCTGTAAATAAAAGAGGAAATGACCTCATGAAAAAATCTGCATCTGAAATTTGGAAACGTAGGTGAAGACCATGGGTGAAATACTGACATCTTTGAAGTTCATGGCAAATAGCCCACTGACTTCAAAGAAGCTAGGATTTCAGTGTCTAGCCTTACAAATATGCACAAGGGACTGAATTAAAATTACATAGGCAAATGCAATCCTAGAATATGCTAATTTTATGCTTTTGATTTTGCAGTGCTAACATTCTTCTAAGTATATCTGTTATTTTTGTTTCCTTTTCCCAGGTAATTAGCTGGGGAAGAGAGGTGGTAGCCTTGTTTTTTAAAGCACTGTTATGAAGAAAGCAATTCTATTGTGTGAGAATCCACTGACCTGAACATGGGCAGTCCTCCATGCTTGACATTCATGGTGCATATGTTTATCCCTTGAACTGGCCAAGTAAACAGCAGTAGTAATATTGGCTGCTATTCCTTAAGAGAAATAAGCAGGAGAGACAGGTTAGCTGTGGGTTTCATAGCTACTTGAAGAGGCAGGAGAATATTATAACCAATATTATAACCAAGAAACCCAGCGATCAACTCTAGGTCTGTAGAGGACATATGTGCTCTCTCTCTATATATATATGTTTGTATATATATAAAATCTTTATAGAAAGGTGTATATAGCTCCTTTTTTCCCATCACCCCAAGCCTGACTCTTTCAACGTTTGCCCTCTGAAGTTTGTGTCTATCACAGCTTTCCTCTCTTATTCCGTTTTTTCTTCTGTTCCTTACCTCCTGCCTAACTGTGACCTTTTTACACATGTCATGCTAGCTAGGGATATTCCATGCCCATATACTCTCACTCTGTCCTGAAAGATTATAAAGACTTAGGTTTTATGCTGGGAAATACAGTTGCTCTGGAATAGATTTATGTTGCTCTCGGAGGATGGTTCCTGCTCCAATCAGCTGGAATGCAGAAGAGGTCCATCCGTGGGGCATGGGCTGTAGAATAAGTGATGAATACCGAAAATTAAATGAGAAGCAACTATAAATATGGCAAATAAGCAAAATGATCTGAAAGATAAATTCAGTCTTCCTAGTAAGTTTTGCACTGCTGGTTTGGGGTAGAATGTTGTGAACGGAATGACTGTGGGAAAGCTGTGAAGAAAGGGAAAGGGGATGCTTGCATGGATTTTAGTAAAAATGTCCAAGAATGCCTTGATAGGAGAAGGAATTATTATAATTATTTAGTGTAAGTTGTGGTATACACAATTCTGCGTTTCACAGACTAATTTGTATGTCAAGCCAGTAAATCCTACTTGAATGAGAACATTCTGTCAGAAAGAGACA